GCAGTTGGAGATATTGTTTGGTTACTCAATGAAAAGGCCAAAGAGGGAGAATGTCCAAAGTTGAGAAAAGCTTACATAGGACCTTTTGTTGTACTTAAAGTTTTAAGTGACCTAGTATTTGAAATTCAGTTTGATGCTCGTGGCGAGTGTAAAATTGTTAATCATAACAAGCTACTGCCATACATTGGAAGTACACCACCAAAGTGGGCACTGAGGCTGTCAGAGAAATTGAAAAACAAAACACATCTACAGTAAAATAACACTGTCCGGTTATAGTTATGATGCATACTGTATGAAAAAAGTTTTTAAAAGAATTAAAGGATTTGTTATCCTTTCAAAATATATGAGTCATAGTGAGTTAGACAACAAATCATGACCAATGTTACTACTTTACAAAAATGGGGATGGAAGGGTGGATATTATTGATAATGTTATTGTACATGTTTGATGATTATACATGTTTAAAATATGTTTTACATGAAAGTTTACATGTTTTACATTCAGTATTACTGTACTTATATTGTGCAGTTATTTTTTTTTTTTACAGATATCCAAGATGTCAGAGATTGTTTCGGCCGGAAAAAGAGGGAGAGTGTGGGAGTGTTGCCTGTGCAACTTTAGGGGAGAGCGCCACTACCTGTTGAGACATGTTTTCTAAACACCTTACTTTTGATGAATGGCCTTACAGATGCCCTGTATGTGGATACAGCCATTATGATTATAACAACTTCAAGAAGCATCCTCAGTGGTACTCACTTCACTCAGCTTTGAAGGGATCTTCCTCTGTTCCCCTTCCAACATCTGCTGACATCAGGGAGGAGAGTAAGGTTGTTTTCAGCATGATCCGTCAGCTGACTCTTGAGGACTCTGCCGCCCACTGGGAGAGGAAGCGTCGAGTCAACACCTTGGCACAGGTTCGACCACCAGCCCCTGTTGCTTTGCGCACCATCCTTCCTTCATCTTTCCCTCCCAGTGGAGCTCCTGCCGATAAACCAGTCTGTGTGGTTCCAGTCGTGACTCCCACTGATGTACCTGCTCGTCTCCCCCTGGTGTGTCTGCCACTGGTGTGCCTGCCACTGATGTACGTGTTTGTCCTGGTGTGCCTGCCACTGATGAACCTGCTCGTCCTGGTGTGCCTGCCACTGGTGTGCCTGCCACTGATGTACGTGTTTGTCCTGGTGTGCCTGCCACTGATGAACCTGCTCGTCCTTGTGTGCCTGCCATTGGTGTGCCTGTCACTGATGTACCTGCTAGTCCTGATGTGCCTGCTGTTGAAGTACCTGCTAGTCTTCTTGATCTGCCCGTCACCTCTTCTAGTGTACCTGTTGTGCCCTGCAAGGAGGACGTTGATATTCTTACGGAGTTTCTTGTCTTCGAGGATACCAGCGAATTCGACACTGAGTCACCTCCTCGTACCCGTGACATAGGGACCAACACCTCCCCCTACAAAGATGAAGTCTCCAGGCTGAAGGAGATTGTCGAGAGGCAGGAGCGAGCCCTCAAGAACAACACGTCAGTCATCGTAGATCTGCAGCGGTTGCTCAGGGATAAGTTGGATGACCCTGCCTCTCGACACATCCACCTTGGTCCTGGAGAAGGTGAGAGGCCCCAGACTGTGCGCAGAAGGAAGTCCCCTCTCCCACCAGCTGTGAAGTTGGTTGTATACCAGCCAGCGCGCCAACGACCAAGACCTAGGAGTCCTTCTCGCGCCAGTAGCCATACCTCTCCTTTACAACACCTTTTCTCCCCTGACAGAAAGAAGACCAGAAGATTTTAAATAGGTAATAAAACAGTAGGTAATAGATCAGTAATGTAAAAGTTTTCTTAACTGTAAATTAAAGTAAATTTATTATACCTATTTTTTTTCTGTACATTAATTTTGGCAATACATATATTACAAAATAGGTTAGTAAAAATGGCATTCTTGTACATTCTTTTGCATTCTTGAATTGGTTTTGATCCATCAGTTGTTGTTCACATAATTATTGGAAGTTTGAAATTTTATTATAAGTACGAAATATTTTACATGAATGCAGAGTATTTTGTACATCAGTAAATTTTAATTACAATTGAAATGTTAAATAACTCACTCTGTTTGTGTATCCCTGTTTCTTCTTGATATGAGTCTCTTGTGATCTGTTGTTTCTGCAAGAATTATATTGTTGATTGTTGACATTTTGCTTGTTAAATTGCTGACATGAATATTTTAAATTTTATGTGTATTTGATACATAAATTTGAAACTGTATGTTATTGATTTGTGAGTATATACACATGGTGTATGTTGATATGAGAATTTGTGATGGTTCATGATGTATTACATTAAGAAAAAGAATCTTGATTTTATACATACCAGTTGTATGATTGATAAGCTGAATACCTCATGTGATTTTCTATTGTACATAGATCTGCAGTTGATTCCTCTTCTGTTATTACATTTACTTGTACTTCCCACGGTATTTGCTTGTTAATTATGTTGTTTTATTGTATATCAGTCCAAAGGGACTTGGACATTTTTTTAAGGAGGGGCAAAATGTAAGAATAGGGCTACGATGTATTTATTGTTTATACTTACACTAGAATGTACTTGTACATTATTTTTCGCTTTTGACATCGCCCCCGAAAGTTTGATTGGCGCTGTTTGTTTATGCATGCGTGTTTTGTTGTTGCAAGTATAAAAGATGTGTTGAATAATTTGTTTACTGAGTAAAGATCACTATTATTTATGCATAATTACCTGTAGTCCACTATTTATACGTATTTTTGCTTTATTGTTAGGGCCACATGTTGTTGATTCTTTTAGTAATGGCCGACTCCCAGAATGCAATGCGGTATTTGTTTACGAAGTTTAACGAGCGCTATTTTTCGATTATGATTTATTGTTAATTTATTGTTAATTCTTGTATAGACATTTAATGATACTAGAAGTAAGTAGAGTTAAGAAATAAATGTTATTTCTATTTTTATTATTTTCTCGTAAGTGTGAGAATTTGATGTGGGAACTAGAGCATCCCGTTACGTTTTTCATTGGTAGATGTAATTTACGCGATGGTTTTCATTGGTCGCGTTTCATGATGTCATTTTACTACGTATATAACGACGAGTAGTAGCAGACAACCAAGATTTTTGACTGTTTTTGAGTTCTAGAAAGGCGTGTTATTTGAGTTTGTTAATTTTATTACATTTATTTCGGGATTAAGACTTTAGAATATTGGGATGGAGTTGGTCATGGTTTGTTATAAATAAGTAGGTTTATTTACAGCTATTTGCTGAGCTGTTTACCGTGATCTAACGGTCTGATATTACTACAGTCAATTTACGGATATTTTATCCGTTGTAATTTCAATTACTGGTTAAATTTACCAGTCCCAATATAAGAACAAGTACAAACTACGTAGGTTTCAAGCATTTATTTGAAATTATTATTTTATTTGGAATTATTGTTTTATAGAAATAAAATATGTGTTCAGAATAAACCGTTTATTTGTTAACTTTACAAGACTTGTCTTTATTTCATTTTCGTCCTGAATTTGGAAGTAAAGAGAGAAAAGAATTAATTTCAACTTAATTGTCATACACCAGTGCGCTTATCCGGTGTCGTTACACTACTCAAATGGTCGTCCTGAAAGAATGACACACTGAAATAGAAGAGGGCAAATGAGAAACTGACACATAGGATTGGACAATGTCAAAACAACACACATATACATAATAGACAAATATGACAGTGATTAAGGCCTGCACAAACCGAGCACAGACATAGATATGGACAAACAAGACTTTGACATAGGTAAAGACAAAGGCATGGGTAAAGAAGACATAGACATGGGTCTGGACAAACAAAACGCAAAATATGACATAAAGGTAGGGGTAAACAAGACACTGATATCATTTTTGGACAAGCAAGACAAGGGCATAAGTAAAGACCACAGGCATCTGATGTTACTGATTTTTCTTTTGATAAAAATATAGCCCTACCTAATAATACACTGTTTGATTAGGTAGGAGATATATTTTTTTTTATTAAAATAAGTAATGTCAGGTGCCTGTGCTATAGACAAACAAGGCATTGACTTAGGTAAGGAAAAACAAGAAACTGAAATAAGACTAGACAAACTAGACATAGATATAAACAAAGAAGGCACTGACCATCATTGGATACCCACGGTGATCAGTAAAGACGAAAACACCCGTGGGTTTCCGACGATGGTCACTGACATAGGCAAAGACAAACATGAAACCGGCATAGGTTCAGACAAACTAGACGAAGACATGGGTAAAGTCAAAAAGAACTGACATCTCTAGACAGACATGGGTTTGGAGGAACAAGACTCTCAAACAAGACACTGACATAGGTCTTACAAATACGACATGGGCAAAGAGATCTACTGTTTATAATCTATGCAAAACGTATACAGTATTAACATGCAGAATTTTATTAACATTTATAAACTTTATACTTGTATTTAGTTGTTTACCTAACATGGTGTTTTCTTTTTCTGTCGTGACAATTGTATTACTGCTTAATTTATTGTTATTTACTCGGGAGGTAATAATATTAGTTATCCAGGTTCAATCAAGGGTGTACGGGGATTTACCCCGGGTTTTATTCCATACACCCTGAGGCCTTCTCAATCAAGGGTGTACGGGGATTTACCCCGGGTTTTATTCCATACACCCTGAGGCCGAAGGCCGAAGGGTGTATGGAATACAACCCGGGGTAAATCCCCGTACACCCTTGATTGAACCTGGATAACGAATTTATTTCCTTTATACCCATAAAAATGCTTTGTAAACATCAGAATGTGTCTCAATCTATCGATTAGATAACTATCATAGAGAATGTATGCATTGTGACGTCACGTTTTATTTACACCCGGCTCAAGTCGGGTGCACGGATATTTACACCCGACTTTGCAACCAATCAAAGCTCGTGTTACAAGCTAGATAGGAAATAAAAGGAATTAATATCTCCGTTACGGGTTTCCGTACCCTGGAAAAATGGATGATGTAAGGAATTTTTTAGCACAACACCAAACTCTAATAGCAGGCGTAGCAGTCACAGGTAAATTCTATTTTCCTTCAAAATGTAATTATATCCTAAGACCTTTTTACTTTTTTAAAGCATAGTTTAAAGTTGCAAAATTGAGAACGGTATGTGTTGATATCCCCAGTTAGCATTATTATAGACAGTGTAGTTTCTTCTTAGGTTCATGATTTAGAACACAGATTTTTGTATTGAAGTTATACATAACAATATGTTTAAAGAATTCTGATCTTAAACCCCTTCCATAAAGTATGGAGAAAAAAAACTATGATCCACCATTTGGACGAAAAATGTCAATAAAATTATAGTTAATAATAAACAGTTGAAGGTCGGTTTATAATGATATTAGGCTGGCCAAAGTTAATCCAACGTTAATGTCACCTATAATAAATAACAAAACTCACGATGTAGGCAAAAAAAAAAAAAAATAAAATAAAAAATTTTAACTAACGAGTACTAAATAAATTGTTAGTATCATACTGGGTATTTAAACTATTTATTTACCCCTCTGCATGAATTAAACACTATTTAAATCTTTGCATGATCATCCATGACATTTATTTTTTTTATTGACGATTGTCAGTCATTTTTTCATTTAAATAGACTCGGATCAAATTCGAAGCACACCTTCAGAGGGTCCAAATGTCTGTCCATATAAAATGCAGTTTTTAGTATAGGCACTGTTGCTTACAAAACAGCCAAGGGTTATAAACACTTTTTTAAAAAGCTGATTTGTTTTCTCAGAAATCTACGCATGGGTAACGTTAACTAAAAGCAGAGCCAACTTCAAATATACAGCCATTCTATTGTTTTTGATGTCAGTATCACATTTTATTCCTTTCACATAAGGCCAGATTAATGTATCTGAATCATATCTAAAGCATACAAAGTGTTCAAATAAGCCTAATTGAGTAGGGGGAAAAAGGGATTTTCAATGTAGTATTCCTAATTGTAATGTGTGCAATGTTGTGGCTTTAATATTTTTCTCTGTGAGCAGGTGTAACACTCGTTGTACTTCGACTGTGGGCGGCAGGTGGGAAATGTTACAGTAAAGCTCGCCTGGATGGAAAGACGGTTATCATCACAGGATGTAACACGGGGATAGGGAAGGAGACCGCTATCGACCTAGCAGGCAGAGGTTAGCCAAGAGGATGCTTAATCACTTCTCTGAAGTGTTCATCATTCTCTTACATCAAAGTACGTTTTCCATAAGATAAGACTCAGTTTTCCAAAATTGTACTCTGGTTGACCAAGATGTTTTTCCCTGAGGCATTTTATATTTTTTTTGGCGGAAAACCCTCTTTGTATACCTTCTTCTTATGGAAAACATAACTTTTTTGTGCGGACTTGCCTGTTATTGTCTACTTTTTGACAGAGTGTTGAAAGAGCATTATTCAATCAATCATCACTCAACTAATAAATCGTTCGATCGATCATTCAACTGTTTTAGGAGCCAGGGTAATTATGGCCTGTCGTGACAAGAGTCGGGGTGAGAGGGCGTTGTTAGACGTCGTTGAGAAGACCGGAAGTAAACAGGTCGTCCTAAAGATTCTCGATCTGGCCTCATTGGAGTCCATCCGAAAATTTGCCGACGACATCAATAAATCAGAACCCAGATTGAATATTTTATTGAACAATGCTGGTAATTTTCTAGAAATGCTTATAGTCTAAAGTAAAGATTTGAATATTTAATTAAAATTTATTTAACATTTCTGTTTTCCACATACAATTTTTTTTTAATTGTTCTTCAATTAGGGAATACTGTTCTTATTTTATCTTCATAAAAGCTGTAGAAGATTTCTGAAAATATTTATCTTGTAGCTTATATTGTATCCTGCCCATTTATTGTTTTTCTGTGCTTAAATATTAAACTTTTAATCGAGAGTTTTGGTACCATTCTTTAATAGTACTTTTTATGATGCAAAATTTTATGATGAATTATTTTTAATAAATGTAAATCAGAAGCCTCAAGTTTAAAACATTGTTTAAACAGGAGTTATGATGTGTCCATACATGAAAACTACTGACGGGTTTGAGATGCAATTTGGAACAAATCATTTAGGACACTTTCTGCTGACGAATCTACTGCTGGATAAAATAAAGAAATCTGCCCCCGCTAGGATTATCAACGTTTCATCTCTAGCTCATACATGTAGGTATTATTTTAAATAATAGTAATATCATCCTTTTGACTAATGATTATACCATGTATGTATTATATACTTAAATGTAATTTGTGCGCCAAATTTAATGTATATTTACAAAAATTACTATTGTAATTGAAATGTTTGTTCCTTATCTAGTCACCGACAAAATAAATTTCGATGACATCAACAGTGAGAAAAGCTACGGTCGAATCCCGGCTTACGCACAGAGCAAACTGGCCAATGTTCTGTTCTCCAGAGAGCTCAGTAAAAGACTCAAAGGTAACACTAACAAACAAGATAATAATGACACAGGAAGACTGATTGTGAACTACGGTGTTTGTGTTATAGTGTGCATTGTGAACAGAATTTTTTTTTCTGCTTTCACGATTCTATCAAGATGAATACGACAGATGTGAACTGTTGACAGGGGATGTCTCCTTCCATGGCACCTGACCCCTCAAATTTTAGATGTCCTTGTTTGCCCTGCTCCCAATTTTTATTGTTTCAATTGACTGTTTGAGCTTGATGACAGTGCGTTATCTTCATTTTTCATTCTGGGAACAGGATCATTAAAAGGATAAATTTCTCCGTCCAAACTTATTAAAAGGATAAAATTTATGTCTCCGAAACTTTATTGCAAATCTAAAATATCCAAAGAGATGAATTGGCTACTGCATGTATTATGAAATTGGAATATGTTCACCTAGCATATTCCAAAAACATAAATCTGCCACTGCTTAAAATGCAGGAGTAGTTTGAGGAGGAATTGAATTAGCATTCAAATTTGCCCAACAAGAAGAAAATAATTTTTTTTAACCTCCTTGCTAATCTAAAGGTCGCCACTTGTCAATTTCCAAAAGGAGATTTGGTGACTGCGTAAAATGTAAAGGGCTTTGCTGAAGAAAATTGTCTGAAAAGTGGATGGTCAGATACACCTTGAAATGAAAAATTTACCTGGACATTCTTTAGAAATACAGGTATAAATATCTGCGAACAACAAAAATTCCACAAACATTGCACGTATATTGCGTTTATATACAGAAACATATACAAGACCTATAAATACAGAAACATATACAAGACCTATAAATATCTGAATACTTGTGAAATATATGGAGACATCTAACAGTATTCAAAGTAAAAAAAATCCATTCAAAAAATGCAAATCAGAAGCAGAACCTTTAAAACATCAGAGGTTGATTTAGGTGCCATGGAGGAGTGAGCATCCCCTGCCGACGGTCGCACACGCCGTGTGCTCCTTGTAAAAGAAGGTCATAGCAAGTGATTTCTTCTCATGTAGAAGCTTCTGAATAAATTCTGCTCCATAGGAATATAAAAAACAGGTTTGTTAAGAAAGGAGCACAGAAAGTATGCATTGGAATCCAACAGTTTGTTGCAATTAAGTAAGAGATGGTCCCCTTAAAAATTACAGGAATACTGTCTATGAGGAATTCCTTTTATTATTAACTTCAGAGTACTTTTGAGTAGATTTAAAGCGATTTTAACAAAATTATTTCATTTATTAGTTATTTTGATGGCTAACGATAAAAAAATTCTCACTTCCATTTGTATAAAAAGTAGTTGATGTCAAAAAGCATAAATTTTAATTTATCATTATGAATAGTTGTATAAAGTTGTATAAAGTGTTTATTTTAATCCTTCGTTTTGATGTTACTAACTTTGAAAAAAAAATGACAAACTTAACATTCTAGAAGTTCTTCCACTGCCTAAGTACCTAAATTCATTATTCTGATATTCTTTGTTTTACCAACAGGTACTGGCGTAACAGTCAACACTGTACACCCGGGTTCTGTCATTACTGAGTTGGCTAAATATATTCCTGGATACAGTATTGTATGGCCACTTCTCATTTTCACGAGCAAAACACCAAGAGAAGGAGCGCAGACAAGTATTTTCTGTGGAGTTGACGAAAGTTTGAACAACGTTACCGGGAAATATTTTAGGTAATACTAGCCCCATAAAAAGAAAAATCTAGTGGGCGTATGTAGCGTGAACCCTGCTCAATTGTTATATTACTATGCTTCTCATCATACCAGCTTTATAAACTGTTCTTGTCTTATGGTCTCTGGTAATGTTAGTGGAGCTGTCTGTTAAATATCAATGCCTGTTCCTCATCAAGAAACTATTCACAAAACATAATAATGAGATCAATAAGATATTTTTTTTTAAACAAACCTCTGATTACTTTGTGTAAAGGGAGTTTTTGTTACTATCCCTGTGGTTTGATGTTTATTTTAGTGACTGCGCTGTAAAGGAGGAATCAAAAGCAGCTCAAGATGACGAGGCAGCAAAGAGACTCTGGGAGGTGTCGGCTCAGATGGTCGGTCTCAAAGAATGAGATACTGGAAAGAGTCAACTCAACTGGACAAATAAGCCGAGATAATGTATTCTATGCAAAAAAGACAATCATTTTATACTAGAATCTTTATCCATTTTTTTTTTGTTTTATGTATGGTATTTTGAGATAGATCTGAATATATTAAAATTTTCTTATTGAATATGATTATGAAATCTATGTGCCTTTTTGGAGAGAAAACTGGGAAAACGTCGGTACTGGCGTTTATTTTTATAATCTATATGATTTTATATGTATTTATGAATAAATGCCATATCATGATCTTTAGTTTATTTTTACTCACCAACTGAGCGTAGTCTGTATGTGTTGAAAGTTTTCCACAAATAATGACATCTAAGGTTCCTGTTCCAACTTATGGTTAACATAAATTTATAAATAAATAACTGTCATAGAATAACCTTTTTATTAAAAAAATCATGATAACTGTGCTAACGTTTAAGAGAAGCTCAATTTATAAAGTTTATTGATAGTCATACTAATCGCAAGGCCATCGTTTGCACACCAATCTGATTAAAATCATATCTGTGTTTCGCTCCGAAATTCTGATGGTCACTTTGCACAGCGACTATCAGAATTTCGGAGCGTTACAAAAAATTTGATTTTAATCAGATTGTCAGCACACTGGATTAATTGTCTACCGATTTTCCCATTTACCCGGCAATGACGATGAGCACACATCAGTTGTTACCAGCCGACTGGGGATGCTTACTCTTCTATGGCACCTGACCCCACCTCTGAATTTTAGAGAGATCTGTGTTTGCTTTACTCCCGATTTGAATTGCATCAATGTACTTATGAGCTTGGTTACTGTTCGTTGTCCCCGTATTTCATTACATTATACATATATTGCATGATAGTGAGGGAAATATGAAGACTTATTCAGCCAAGAAAAATCATATTCCCCGAGGGCTTTGCCTTCATGTTTCCCGAACATTCATGCAACGAATTGTTTATTATACCGAAACAAGCAAAACCTTTGAAATAAACATAAACTTTCAAAGTCGACTCAATAGATCCCAGTGAAGTTGAAATAAAAGGCCCCACAGAGTCTGCCACACATGTTTATAAACTCTATGGGTGATGAGGACCAACGAACAACGTATTTGTAAGACAAACGAGGTGACCTCAGCTTTTCCAGCGTAAATTTTTCTTCTTTTATGTAATACTGAGTAATATTCTTAAGTTGGAACAAGACAGTTTAAAACGTTGTATGCATCATCATTCTTCTGCCTTTAATTGAAAAGGTTAATTTAAGCAATTATTTTAGCATTATTTGTTTATTCTTGATTCTTTACACGGTTTACGCAGTTTTCCAATTCGTCATTAAGAAATCTACCTATATAGAAATGAATTCAAATTTTAAAAGAATTTTTTTTTGAAAATCAAAATTGATTAATATAAGCATAAGACCACGCAACTCATTTGTCTTTTTCAGCTTTGATTTCTCGTGATATTATATATTTTTATACTTAATGTTTGATCACAACTCTGTGTAATGAGAAATTCTGAGAAAGTATCAACAAGATTTCTGTCAGAATAATTATTTATGTCCTTTGAAATATTTAATATCTTGCCCGACATTATGTGTGAAATAGGTCTTGCACAATTTAATTCTTTCGACCATTGTCACGTGGTTTTGAAGTTAAGAACATATCTGGTGTATAAATTTGAAACAGACATGTTTTATTTCCTCCTTTATTTGTTCCAGTAATATGTTCCAATGCTTGACATACTGACACAATTTCACGATTCTGTCTAATTGTATATTTTGTCAGCCACGTGGTGAAGTGGTAAGAAAACCTGCTCTAGAGTCGCAGAGTAAGAGCTGATCCTTACATCTCAGGTTCGAATCCCACTGTGGGACGTGGAGACCGGTACTTTGAACTATACCCTTTAGACCGAGGTCCCGTGTTGCAGAAGGTGCTGGCACGAAAAAGATCCCTTATTGCTCAATGGCCCGTTGTGCCGAGCATAGGTAAAAAAAATTCAGCTCTCCAAGTGGAAACGTCTCCATATGAGTTAAAAATCCTCAAGAGGGACGTTAAACAACAAACAAACAAAACAAATCTAATTGTTAATTTTAAAAAAAAATTGCTAGGAAATATTGCCTCATATTATTACGTCTCCAAGATCACTATTCATCCCTTCTCAATGTTTTAAGATTATTTTTCTATGAATAAAACTTCCATTTAAATAAGATATAAATCTTATTAAAATATTTTCTGTATCCTTATTTTGATTTTTTGTTCTTTGTATGAATAAAATGGGTGAAGAAAACCAACAGTGATCGATCTAGATCAGGTACATAGTATGAGTAAACATCCCTTAAAGCAATAATTGCTTTGCTTTCACGGATTTGCTCTTTTGAGAGGTTGGTTTATATCTGGAAGGAAAAATGTGTCATATTGTATTGTGTCTAGTAATCACCGAAATATAATGTGTTTTCCTAAGTTTTTTTTCAATTATTATAAGCTAACTAGAGCCGAGCTCGTTGCAAAGCAACGAATAGGTCTTCCGTTGGAGCTACGGATAAGAAGACGTAACCTTGAGTCTAGGTCAAAAGCCACATTCTAAAGTTCTACAAATGAAAATTTAAACCTTTTAAGAGAAGCAACTTGCAATGTTTAGCTAGGAAAAAGACTGTAAAGGAATATGTGTGACCTTGAACTTTCCAAGTGACCTTGAACTCTCCAAATGACCTTGATCTAAGCAATGACTAGCTCTCGTTATAAAAATATTATCCATGTGTTACCGTCTGGAAAATTTCAAACATTTTATTTAGATATTCTTTCTGTCCATGCATCCAACCAAAAACATCTTATCCTTGGGGACTTTGAACTCGAGTCAAGGTCACGTCCCACCCTGCATTATATCAGCAATGTTTCACTAGTAGAAAAATGGTAGCGAATTTACAGTTTCACTGTCACTAATCTTGACTCGTCCAAATAACTGGATATGTTCAGCCATGAGTTTTTTTCTGACTATAATCGAGGCAAAATGATTCATTGGGTTCAACACAATGTCGAGACTATAGCTCTACTTGTTTGTACTTATAACAAAGGAAGAGAAAACTAGCCATTGCCATCAGACCAAAACTGTAGAAGGAGTAGCGTTTTAAAGGAATTTCACATAAATTTCTATTTTTTGTAATCACGACAACACCGTTCATCTAAATCAAAAACGATGCACTTAATTATGTATCACATTGAAGTCTACTTGTGTGTCCAGTTATATTGAAATCAAACTAAAACTGTAGGAGGCGTAGCATTTGTAAGGAATTTTATACAGAAATTTCTATTTTTAGAAACCATGGCAACACCGTTCATTGAAATCAAAAACGGATGCACGATATTTTGTATCTTAGTGAAGGCTACTTATGTGCCAAGCAATATTGAATTCAGACAAAAACTGTTGAAGAAGTCGCATTTTAAAGCATTCAAAAACCGATGCACTTTACTACATGTATGTATCTTAGAGATGTGTACTTGTGTACCAAGTTATATTGAAATCAGACCAAAACGGTAGGAAGAGTAGTATTTTGAAAAATTGTTTACAGACAGACAGACAGACAGCTAGACAGACGAACGGACGGCAGACACTTTACTATCGCATCCCACAGACAGGTGGGACAGATATTTATATATCGAAAATAACCAATTTAAATAAAAGCATCATTTTTAAAGCATTAAATCGTAGCAAAAAAGAAAATATCAATGGATGCGACACTTTTCAGACGAGGGAAGAGATATGAACCTCTCATAAATACAGTACACATGTATCAGATCACTGCACGTCGGCAATCTAAAATGATACATATTATTTTTTTTCTTTGTATAACTTAACCCCCCCCCCTAATTTCTTAGAAAATGTTTGTACAATCGAGAAAATCGGTTACTTTTCATAAAGACTACGACGTTTCTTTCATTTTCAAGAACCGTATAATAGCGAGCGCAGCGAGCCCAATAGAATAACGTGTAAGAAAAGAAGTTCGGAATTGTACACACGTCAAGCAAATTTTGTTGTGCAACATTCCCAGAGCTCCTTTACTACCCAATGTCCTTTGCGCGAATAAATAAACAAATAATAACACAAGTAGCAGCTTTTTAAAAAGCTTGGCTGACTAATGTCATCAATATCTATAGAATCTAATCACAAGTCATGTTACATTATCCTTAATATAGAATTGTAATCAATGTTATCATTTTGTAATAATTGTTCATGCCCCCTGTGGGCCCTTGATTGGTGAATAAACATATATATATATATATATATATATATATATATATATATATATATATATAAAGGTGGCAGCTGAAAATATGATACCTACAAGAAATTGGGGATCTAACAATTATGACTGACGTGTAGAATATGATTGATAGTTTCTTGGGTATGCCAAAGTATCAAAGATTGTTGGAAACGTGGGAAAAATAATTAAAGCTTTAAATGACCCAACAAACTTGACGGCGATATATGAATGCCATGGTGCGGATTCAGGAAGTTTTTCCCAGAGATGAGGGGTCAACATCAAATGTTTTATTACTTTAAATGATGTAACTTCTAACTCACTTCACAATGTCACCGAATTGTTTGTTGTTTTTTTTTTCCAAAGGTCGACCAGGATTCTGACAAAAAAGAACAGGCTTTACATAATTCATGCAGTTTTCATTTTCATTCAATGGAATAGTCCAGAAAAAGGGTGCAAAAACCTACACGTGACATTTTGGCGCGAAATAATAGTGTCGCTCCTTACCTAGAAGACAAATGGACTAATCCAGTAGTATAGAAACGCAGAAAAAAGGTCAAACGGACATATATCCGTATAAGAACTCGCATGAAATTAATATATGCTAGCAAAAGGCTAGAGAAAATAAATACATCCATCAATGTATTGTATTAGCAATATGTTTATTTTTCTGCTAATACAATAGATAACTGTTGTTGCTGTTCAATGCATGTAACAAATCCGATGATAATCAGCATGCACAAAATTTTGCTGGCTAACTGTGACCTCTTCGAACCCA